CAAAGGGAGCATGGCTGGTGATGCTCTGTCTGGCTGACACTTGTGCTGAAGGACAACACTCAGCACAGAAGCCTCCTACATTACAGTAGTGAAGGCAGGGTGAGCCTGGCAACGGGTTTCTAGCATGTGCATTCTTTCCCTCAGGAGCATTCAATGCATTTGACAAAGACGGAGACGGCATCATCAAACTCAATGTTCTAGAGGTAAAGAATCTAGAAGGAGCACACCCCTGCAACTTACAATTCAAGGTGGATGACGAAGGCAGTGTGGTCCCACTGTGTGCTCCTCAGTTTCCAAATAGTGGTGGTGGGTGGGATGGGAAAGGAGTTTAGAGAAGGGAAGGCCAACAGGGATTATGGCTCAGAGAGAATAGTTCCCCCAATTACTTGATGCTGGAAAACACGTTCCTTCCTAGATCAGGGGAGGTGGCAGTAACCACTGCTTCTGTGAAAATGTTCCCAGTGCCTGGCATGCTAAGACTGTTCCTTCTCCCCTTACCCTAGAAGATTCCTTGGGTGGGGGTCTCCTTTGTTTTCATTCTGATCCTGGGACTTCTTTTAGTGGCTGCAACTCACCATGTATGCCTGAACCAGGACGGCCTTATCTAAGCCGGGCAGGATGACTCAAGATTTCAGTGTTACCCAATACTGCTCCAACTACTTACCTCAAAGGACCCAGAAGCTACACCCCAACAGGGTTCCAGGCGCCTCCTCCTAGATCTTCTTCCACTTCATTCCGCACTGTTTCACAGCATCTGTGGGTCCTTCACACTCAGCCTGATCCGTTTAGTGAAGGACCACAGTAGGAAGACAATTTTGTCCTTTTGTCAAATGGAGACAAGTACCTCTGTGATATGCTCTGAATCTGGACTTGACTGTGAACCAAATGCAAAGGCTTTGACCTCTCAGCTGTTCGCAGGGGCCTTTGCTAATGGCAGAGTTTCTGGGTGATATAAACTATGGTTGGCTATTTCCAGAGGTGCCATGGAATAAAGGCCTGGCAATCTTTTTTCCAAAACCTGACAGCCAATGAAAACCCTATGGAGCGAGCACAGTTCTACTCTGCAACACATGGGGTCAACCTGAGTTGGAATTGACTTGCTGTTAACTGTTAACTGGTTGGTGGCCTGTCCATGACACTCACCACATTCTTGTATTGGAGCTCTCTACCACCTTATAGGGCAGTAGCCAAATGAACACTACTTCTGCCGAATTGTTTCAGGATGGGCCTGCTCTGGGGTGAACTAGCTCAGTGGAACAAGGGAGGATACTTTGGGCTGTCTGACTCATAAGTTTGGCTGTATTCTGAAATGAGTTGATCTAAATAAAGGCCTGTGTCTGATTTCACTGTCTTGTTTTCTCACATTTAGATATCTTATGGGTTGGAATCAACTTGATTAGCAGTGGGTTTTTGGCCATAGCAAGACTGAATGAATTCCAATCTTACACTCGTCACAGTTTCAGAATAGGACAATGAAAACTAAGACTCCCCTCAAAAAAAGTTAACCAACAAACACCCCCAAAACCTACTTTAATCATGCCTATGGCTATTTCATGAGCATAGGAGTCATCATATGAGGGACATATGAGGGACACAGCTGTAGGTGTATAGGAAAAGAATATCTTATCTGTAACTGGAAGGGTCAGATACCTGAGTGGAATGAAGAAGAAATGTAGTTTTTAATCCGAATTCGTCCACAAACTGATCTCTTGTACAAAGTGGGACAAAATCCTTGAATGTGGCTATTTGTCATATTATCTGGACCTTGGATTGTGGAACATCTATAAACAACCTGAATTCCTGGTATGGCACTGGACTGCAAACCACAAGGTCGACAGTTCAAACCCACCAGCTGATCCCCAGAAACCCTATACAGGGTCACTATGAGCTGGAACTGACTCGATGGCATTAACAAGAGTAACAGTATACCCATCTTACATTTTCTACCCAATACCTCTTCGTTTCCAATACCAGCATGGAAGAGAAAGGGTTGGTCACAAATAGGCAGACAAGAATAATTAACCACCACTTAATAAAAGTACTTTATTTTTTCTCTTGTATTTGCTTTATATCTTGTTTTACAAAGTTATGAAGTTCACAGCTTTATACCAAAACGTAAGAAGGCTAGGCAATCTGCTTATAAACATTTAAGTGTCATCTGATTTGATTCTTCTATATTCATATTTGATATTTTTTTAAAAAAGAGAAACCCAGGACACAGATTTCTCTTCACCAGATGGACCTTCAATAACCCTTCCTCCTTAAGCTCCTCCTCTCCCAAGTCACTGGGCTACTACCTTGACTTCAGAACCTATGTGAGGAATTGCAGTCACCTTGGAACCCAGAAGGGCCATTTACTTGGGGATTGGAGAAGGGGTTAGAGGTCCTATCTGGTAAGTAAAGGGCTTCGTTTACATGAGGAGCTCATATCCATTTGCACATGGAACTCAGTGTGGACCAAATCACCTCCGCTACAGGGTCTCCATTCCTGTGCATTAGACTGCTCCTCACCAACTGAGGCTCCTGAGCACTGGGGCAGAGATGAAACCACTATCTTACACATGCATCAGACATGGACTTCATAACAGCTCTAGCGACTCTCCTTTAGGTAATGGGAACAAAAGCTGTAAGTAAGCAGAGTGTTTTAGCTGTATTTATTTGAGCAAACCAGAGAGTACATGCTGTTCAACCCAACTTCTCAATATATGTCAATCTGTCCTCCCAATAAATTCCATCCATAAAAAATACCATACTATTCCATTAAGTGTACACCTACTCCGACCAAATCACTCACGTGCCTACTAAAGCTGTCCATTATATAATCTACACAAACAAACACCCTTTGTTAGGCAAATAATCACGTTTACAGCATTAATACTGCCTATGAAGCATAGGTAGGTCAGGAGATAAACACTCAACTGCTAACTCTTCTGAGGAAGGAAAACAATGTCCCTAGAAAAGCAGGAGTGTAGTAGCAATGACTTCCTCACAAATTCAAATAACATCTGGTGGAGATGATTCTGTGCTCTTAAGAGTTTTATTTTCCTTGTGTTTTATTACTTTATGTAGTAGAGGAGTATGCCAAAACCTGTGAAAAACTTCAGCAGTAAACTTGGAAGTAACTGAAATCTAATCAGATCAAACTGCCATGAAAACACGGGCATATGCACATAAAATAATTTATGTGACAGTTTTCTTGGCTTCCAGTCTTTAGAAGTAGGCACAGGCAATTAAAAACAACATTCTAAAAATGGCCTCCAACTTCTTGTAAGAAATGAGTAGGCTTTTGTGAGGCCGTTTAACTATTTTTTTCCTTCATTAAGGTACTAAATACAGAATCACCACAAGTTCCTGAGCCACAGCTCTTCTCTGAGGGGAAGCAGAGGGCTAGAATCAGTCACGACATTGTGGGAGATTTTAAAAATAGTTAGTTGAAGCTCTGAATAACTTTTAGGACACTTAAAAGTAATAATGCACACCATAAGCAGCCAAGATACTTATGGTACTTTTATTTCTAAACAGGGAGATAAAACAGTACATTCTGGATAACACGCCAACCTGGTGTTAAAAGAATTTCACATGTTCTTGAAACAAAGACATCAATGCCACTGTTTCAAAGAAAACTTGAGTGACATGAGGAAAACTATTACATGTACAGGTGCCCACATGTATACACACTACAAAGGATCATTCATACATGCACACACAGGCAGATACACTGTACGAGTCTCTTGAAGTTAAACCTAAATCATAGCCCTTACTGATTCTACTAAGACCCTCAAAAATTCCCCACAACTTCCCAATTGCTCACATTCCCCTCCTCCCTGTGGAATAAAGGCTCCAGCACTCTCATCTCTTCAGACATGCTGCCAGCCAGAAAGAACAGAAGGCCACCGATGCAACAGCGTATTCCAGGTTCACACTGCCCAGACAATGTGGAAATGGGGTGCCACTATAATCCAGCAGAAAAGGCCAGGTTAACCAGTAAGTCCCAATGTCCTTTCCTGGGGAAATCACCACTCCCAAACACACAGAACAGCTTGGTTTCTCTGGTCACCCTTACAGGACGGAGGGACAGGGGGTTGGAAGTTCCATAATCTGATACAGAAACAGCACAAATATACTTTCTGCAATAAAATCTTCTCTGTTCTCCCTAAGCATCATGCAACTCTCAACAATGTGGTTAACCAGAGTTCTCCAGTTACAAGGACAGGAGCAAATCCCTTATGGGGCCTGTCATTACTCAGCAGAGCACCTAGATTAATTGTTAACATTTTGTGAATCAAGTACGAGCCAATGGAGCCTTTCCTTGAAAATAAGACATAGTTGCACATATAATCTCAGGGGAGGTCACAGACCCTGCTGAAATGTATCTAGTGTAGTGTCCCTGCCCTAGACCCTGAGCACAGGAGTGGGGGGAGCCCAGATGCTCTGCAAGTACAGAAAGTGACAGCCTCACACCATGAAGTTTGGCATGTGGCACTGGACTCTCTGCCTCCTTCCTCTCTTTCTCGCTGAAGAAACTGTTCTGAGTTCTGAAGATTCAAAAACAAAAGGTTGGAAAGCAATAGTCCTACAGTTTTACAGGTACAGAGAAAATAAAAAAGAAAGCAGTTCCACTGAGGTTCTGTTCATTTGTCTACGCTCAATGAACAGACAGATTCTTTGCCTTCCATACTTTCAACTCTTCTGTCCCAGCTAGCTGGGCAGTGAAGTCAAAGGCACTAGTTTCCAAAAAAAGAAAAAATCTCTAAAAAGTCTATGTACAGCTTCAAAAACTACACTCAGAAGTTTTATTCCTAACTCCCCGCCTTGTGTGCTGCACCTGGGTGGAAAGTACCCTGTGAGTCCAGAGCTACCATCAGTCTACATCAGTTAGAGTCCGGGAAACAGGAGTTGGCCAACAGAGCAAACCAGAGGTCTTAAACCCACAGAAGGCTTGGAGAGTCAGGAACTGGAAAGGGAGATGGAGGTTACAGCTCCAGTTCAATCAGCAAAAGCTGCTTTGCACTAAGCATTCTAGCAAGACTTACAGAGGTTCCCTAGGATGTACTGTGTGATTGGCTTTTTGAATCTTGAAATACAGTCAGCAGAGCAGTCATTCTAGCTGATAGACTGAGTGTCTTTTAGCATTTAAAGCCACTCTGTCCATTTACAATGCTAGAGAATATTGAAACACAATGCACATAATTGTTAAGAAAGGAAACTATTGGCTTTCAATTTAATATCCAGTTATTACAACTGGAGAAATTAAAGTGGATTCTGCAAACATTAGCATTTGAACAAACTTGTATTAAAAGACTGACTATAGATCTAAACCATATAAGAACATAAACTAGAATTCACAAGCTGAACATCAATAAAGTATGGGTAACCAATTAAGATCAGTATCTTCAATAAACATCTGGAAACACTAGTAGCATAAATCACTATGCCATACTGCTCCAGAGGAGTATAATTCCTTAAAATCTGTTTATATCTGACAACCCTCCAGCAAGAACTTAAAAGTATAACCTATCATCCCATGGAGCTGCCCAGACTTATGTTATTGGTAAGCCTGGCACTTTCTCCTTCACTGCTTCCCTGGGGAAGGAAAGAGAAAGGCTTGTATGAGGGGCTGATGTGAAAAGAGTCAAACTAATGACTTCCCAACATGGGAGGCAAAAAACTTCATGAATCAATTTTGCTATCATCTTCAGCATGTCGTTCAATGTGTCCCGCAGCATCCTATGGATAAAGGGGAAAAGGGTCCATGAGGAAGAGTTGGCAGTAGGGCAGGAGAAGCTCATGGGTACTAAATACAATCCATGGGCGAAAGGTACTTTGCTAATTTACATGAAAGTACATACTTAAAAGTAAGTTCTTGTCTTAGCACAAATGCATTATTAACAATACTGGTGCAGAAAATGGATTTGAAACATCTAAATACATCCTTTTTAGGCTCTTTATCCAAAAGAGAAAACTACCTAATTCTTCCTTTGAAATCTCCTTACCAATACCAGTTTGTTGTTTGTTTGTTTTTCATGTCCAAAAAAGAAAAATGCCTGGGCCTCCCTATTTTTTGGCCTTCTTAACATTAAGGCAAAAGAATTTGAGAGCCCCTTGGACTTTGTCTTAGAATTTATTCAGAATATATATATATCTTTTCCCTTAAACTGGGATGTGTTCAAGAATCAACTAAATTATCCAAATTGTGTAATTCAACCATATTGTCCTCTAAGCCAGGGAACGGCAAACTTTTTCTGTAAAGGGCCAGATAGGAAATAGCTTTGCAGGCTGTAGAGTATCTGTCACAATCAGCACAAAAGTGTTATGAACAATGTGTAAACAAATGAGCGTGGATGTGTCCCAATAAAATTTTATTTACAGAAACAGGTAGGCAACTGAGAGTGAAGAAGTCTTCATCCTAAATCCTCTGTACTCAGGCTTGGTAGGGATGGGCAACTTAAGACATTTGCTATGCAAAATGAGGGTGCTATAAAGGCATGAAGTGACAGGCTTACAAGTTTTCAAGAGGGAGTTTAGTTTCAGAGTGTGCAGGGGAAGGTAAAATCCCCACTGACTAGTTTTTATCTTGTCTAGAAAAGTCTGGTGAAAGGCTATGGGGATAAAATTCTTAAGATTCAATAGTGAGTAGTTGTTATCATGACTAATTGTGATGGTCACAACTGTAAAGGTAGAAGTTTTGTAACATAAAGGGGGGGGGTAGTTAATCTTGCATTTCAGGAATAGGAGACCCTAGAACCACCAAGGGAGAAGAGCATGAGCAGAATGTGGGACCCTATCCAGAGAAGCAGCAACACCAGAGATGGAGGCAGAGATGAGGACATGGAGAGATAGAGCAGTTGAGGACTCTAGACTAATGGAAAGAGAAAGACTGTGTGCTGGCTGCCTGGAGGCAGGCTTGCAGAATATGCCCTTTGGTTTTTTAAATGATTATATATTTTTGAGTGTTTTGGTGTACAATACCCCCCCGAAAAAAAAACCCCAGAGGTAATAGAAGCAAATACTGTTGAATGATGACCCATAGAAAAGACTGTATTGTAATCATTGCAATGAAACAATGAGTGTTAAAACCGATGTTTTCCCTTGTTCACTATCACTCAATTCATAATAAAAACTTAAAAAAAAAAGAGAGATAGAGTCAGATTTGGCTTATTTATAAGCTGTACATTATAAACCCCTGCTCTGAGCAGTCTACTGAACCCCAGATTAACCTCAAGTCCCACTAATATACCTGTTTGGATCCTTTTCTTGCAGTGAAAAAAGCATCACAGTTCTTCCAGCGACATTTCAGAGTTTGAAAGTTTGGATTCGTGTGGTCAGTCAGCAAGTGTTGTTTCAAATGATCTATGACACCAAATATTAGAGAGCAACCATGCCACTGACAAGAAAAAGAATGAGACTCAGTTTTATTAAGGAACACAGGAAACAAGCAATCAGCACTTTCCTCATTTTTATCCCATGTTGTTGCTGGAATCAAGTCGATTCCAACCCATAGCGACTCTGTATAGAGTTATGAAGAGCAGCTGGTGAGTTTGAACGGTCAACCTTGCAGTTCAAAAGACTGCAATCTGGTGCATAAACCCACAGCACCACACCAGGACTCCAAACGGAGTTGTCAGAAGTGGAATTTGAACCCACGCCTCCAGGGGAGACTGTGACCTGAATGCAGTGCCTTGGACTACTCAGCCTTCCTGACTTTGTATCCCATATGTACTATGAAAGCAGAAAATAAGCTTCCTATTCTTTTAATTTATTCTTTGATAGAAAATATAACAAAGTAATCAAATTAGTTATCAATATAGTGAAAAACCTTGAAAAAACTGGAAATTCTGTTGATTTGTTAGATAGTCTGGAAAATGTTGGCAAACATTTTTAGAAGAGATATTGTACAATTAAGTTAAAACCTTATAGCACACCATCATAAAATTAAGTTTCCATCTCAGTAATATTTATTTAAAAAGGCAAAGAACTTTCCAATAATATTGGAAAGTTTATTAATAATTTGAAAACCACTGACTTATAAATCTGAAAATCTAAATGTTTAATAAAGAAAATTGTATTTGTAGGAATATTTGTTGTAGAAAACAATGTTTCCCATGGAAGGCTAACTTATCCCATAATTTTGTCACTTTAATTGCAATCTTGTGATTATTGACAACATTCCTCATATGGATCAATTTCACTTCTTAGTCAGAAAGCATAAAGACTCTTTGGCTTTGCTCTTACCTTTCAGGCTTGTGATTCTAACATGATTACTTCTAAAGCATTATGCAAATTTACTTTTCTTCTGTACTATGCTATTCCTCTGGGAGCACTCGTGGTGCAGTAGGATAAGCATTAGACTATGAACCCCAAGGTCAGCAGCTCAAATCCACCAGCCACTGCACAGGAAAAAGATGAGGCTTTCTGCTCCTTAAACCTTGGAAATCATATACAGGCTTACTATGAGTCAGAACCAACTCTAAGGTACTTAACAATAACAACAATCCTATTGCTCTACCTTTAAAATGAGATAGTATTTCCCCCATTGCTCCACACAGATTAATTTCTAATAGTACATTCTGGAGCCTGTGGTACTAGATTTTCCTGGCCTTCAATAAGAAGACGAAAGCAAAGATCAGGATGCATAAAAACTGAAAAGTAAGTAAGTTACAGAGAAGTCTAAGTTGAATTTTTAAATGGAGAGGATCATATTTTATCAATGATGAAAAGATTAAAATTTTGAAACAAGAGGAAAAATCAGTGCCATACAGTTTTCTTTGAACTTTACTAATATTGTTGTTAAATACTGTCAAGTCAGTTTCAACTCACTGTATAGGGTTACCAAGAAGCAGCTGGCGGATTTGAACTGCCAGCCTTGTGCTTCAAACCAAACTTGCGGTCCAGTGCATTATCCTGTAGTGCCACACCAGGATTCCTTCTACTAATATTATAACTGACGAAACAAAGTACATGTTTATTTATAAGGAATAGTGTGAACGTCTGGACAGTTAATCACCAGTCCCAACTCCAAAATACAACCCAGTGAACTGAGGTTTAGAACTTTAAGACTACACATCTTTTATTTTCTTATTCTTCTATACTGACAAAGAAAAGCACATTACTAGTATTTGTAATCCCTAAGGAGTGGGTTTAGTTTTGTTGTTGATAAGTGTGGTTGAGTCAGTTCTGACACATAATGACGCTGTATAGGGTTTCTGAGGAGTGGCTGGTAAGCTCAAACTGCCAACCTTGCAGTTCAAATAAACCTTTCAGTGCAGTGCTGTATCACAGTGCCACAGGTTATGAAAATGAGCACTTCCACTTTTTTTCTTCTTCTTCTGGCATTACTGATATTTTTGTAAGCATGTATCATTTTTATAATAAAAAACACAAAAAACAAATCAGAGACAACCTTTGAGTAGAAGTTATTTAGATATATTTCATGTCTTAAAGCAGATTTTAATTACAGAAATACAGGAACATTTTCTGTGCAGTTTAAAAATTAACCTTCCCAAAACTGTAATTTTAAAAAGAAAGAAAAAAAATAAATCACAGTATCATAAATAAATAGACCCTTCCCCTAATTTTTAAAAAGTTAAACTTCCTTATTCTACAGTGGAAGATATAAATAAGATATGGAAAGCACAGCTTTACTCCTTACCCAACAACGGTAATTCTGCATCAGATTTAGCCTCACAGCCTGAATACTGCCATCATAACAGCCAGTATAGATCTGGAGAAAGAAGTTAATCCTATCAGACCAAAGCAACACTCAAAAAAATAAACACAAAACACCCTTAAAGTCAGAGTCAAAAGTTATTTGAATGAAGGGCTTCAAAAAGTTCATGGAAAACTTACATTATGTTTTAATCCCAACTGACCATGAACTTTTTGAAGCCCCCTCTAGAAACTATAAGAAGGTAACACTAATCTAGACCCAAACCAGCCCAGAGTACTAGGATAGGAAAGTATTTTGCAGATAGTCTGGTCTAGGCACTTTTAAGTGGTGTTCCTTAGAGCCATTCTTGGGGTTGTGGCTGAGGGTCAGAGTGGCAGGGTGAGAGGCACCCCTTGACACTTTACCTGCTATTGGGCATTATATATTAGGTGTCTGTATTTCATTAGAACTGCTCAGTTTAAAAAACATTCATTTTGGTTTGACCGTATCATTTAAAAATAAAATTAACAAAGACTTAGCAGGGTAAGTGAGTTAGCATCTCCTTTTAAGTCTGCCACTAACTATGCCACACTGGCCAGATCTCCTGATTCCATCCCAATGTTCTACTCAGATCATGTCTCCGGAAAAGCCACCTATTTTCTCTTATGATTTTCAATACACTATTTAGTGGTGGTTAATAGATCTTTATTGTAATTATATTAGCTATAAAAAGATAGAAAAATATTCAATAAATGACACATACCAGACAGAGGTCACTTTTGGATGTGACACTTGAATATTTAGTAAACACATTCAAAGACAAATATTTGACATAGCAAATAATACTCACCATACTTTTATGAATGGTCATACACATTATCATGTCTTTGTGTCCTCCATAAACTTGCAATCGATCATGGGACTTAGGCAGGAAAAAAAAAAAAAAAAAGCCAAAGAAGTAAGGTTATTTATACTTGTGTTTAATAAGCATTGTCTCTAAGGGCTGTTGGCAGATTTAAAACTGAGACACTAGGCTGAAATATCACTAGCATTCTAACAGAAATTAAACGTAATGGCAGTCTTTCCAGTAAGTTTCCCTCTTCAAGGGGGTAGCTGGTAATTAGAAATAATAAGACCAATTTATAAGGTAAGATCAAAAACTCAAACTTAAAATTATATTCCAAAAAGAACTAGACAGGCTTTAGAGAAGAGACTTAACTCTTGAGAAACCATTAAGTTTTGCTGTATGTGCATGTGTGTGTGTATATATATATATGCTTATATTTATACATATATACACCAAGAGAGGGAGAGAGAGTCCTGGTGTAGTGCTTTGATTTAATACGCTGGACTGCAAGGTTGGTTTGAACTGCAGGGTTGGCAGTTCAAACTTAACAGCCACTCCTCAGAAACCCTACAGGGTCACTATGAGTCGACATGGACTCAACAACAGTTAACAATACACACACACACACACACAGTCAGCCTTCCATATCTGTGGCATTTACAGATTCCACGTCTGTGATTTCAATTTCCATAGACTGAAATAACCAAGGCCAAAAAAAGCAATTAAGTGGTCAAAGATTTCCCAGAAATGCTAAGAGGGAGCTTTAAGTGATATTTACAAAGCATTTATATTGTATTAGTTATTGTAAGTAATCTAGAGATGATTTAAAGTATATGGGAGGATGTATATAGACTATATGCTAATACTATGCCATTTTATATAAGGGATTTGAACATCTGTGTATCTTGGTACCTGCAAGGGTTCCTACAAGAAATCCCCCATTGATACTGAGGGACAACATGTGTGTGTGTATATATATGTGTATATATATATATATAGCTATACAAGGAAGCTTCAAAAAATCCACAAAAATATTCCATCTTTTCATTTAATTTTTCCATGAACTTTCTGAAGCCCTCACATCTGTCTACTATCTCAGTGCAGTTTTTCTGAAAGTATCATCTCTGGATAGCTGCTTTATAATTATCTAACATGCATAAAAAATGAAGACTGCTAGACTCCACCCCAGATTTACTGCATCAAAAATCAATACCAAACCCAAATAGGCAATCCTCCCTGCAAATACTCACCCTACCAAAAATATACTACATTTACATTTTACCTGTAATTCATAGACACGAACAAATTTATCCAGGCAAGCAGTCACCATCACTTTCCCTAGGATATTCACCACAGTCACCGCATGATTGTGGCCTTTGTAGATCCGCACAAGTTCACCTGTCTGCAGCCGAAGAGAGATAAGAGTCACTAGACAGGCTTTTAAAGCTCTTTCCAACTTTTGATATTTATGATTCCATAATTCTAAGAGGCAAACTGAGGCTTACTTATACACACAAGTAGCTGTGTTATTTTAACAACTGACATATTTCCCTAGGATCTATTACACATACATAATATAGGAAATGTACCTTCCTTGATGGAGAAAATCTAGCGTCACAAACAGAGAAGGCCACAATAACACTATCTGTATGTATTTCATAGCTTTTGAAGTACTTTCCCTTTTATCCTATGAGGTGGAATTATGCCCAAGTTTACAGAACAGGAAGCTGAGTGAGTATCAAAGAGTGATTTATTCATCCAAGATACCAACACCAGTGTGAATCTTGGTATCTACTATAGCCGTCTCTGTGACCTGAACACAGGCTCTCTGTTGTTTTCATGCATCAATTTTAAGCTATGTATTCACTTTTAGAGCTTCATATGCTCAATTTATCTCAAGTCAAACTAAATCTTAGATAAGCTTCTGAAGCTGTCCCCATTAAAAATGTTGATGAGGTCAAAATTTCTAGAATGGTCCACATTATCCAAGAACTTAAGCAGAGTGATTACTATTAAACCTTTTCACTGGGTAAGAGTTTAATTTACACTGTGACAGCTCTGAGAAATGCTTCAAGCTTAAACTACTATTTCTAGTCAAGAATCATTTACATCATCAACATGGCTTACGTGAATATTGTGGGCATGGACGGATTGATCACTGGAACCACTGAACACAAGGTCATTCACCACCTTAAAGACAAAACATGAAGTGGAGAGATGGAGCAGCTGGGAACTCTAGATCCAGAGACGGAAAGGGGCTGTGTGCTGACAACCGGGGGCAGGCTTGTAGGGTAGACCCTTTGGTTGGTTGATGATGCATGGAGGGAATTGTAACCATGGTAATGTAACGATATAGGATAGGATGATTGTAAAGCTAATGTTCTCCCATGTAAACTTATCACATAATTCACAATAAAACATTAAAAAAAAAAGATGGTACATCATTTTACCCAGTTGTAGAGAAGAGGGCTGTAATCATTCTGCTTTTTGTTCTACTTAATGCAATACACAACCTGGCTAGTATCATTCAAAACTGTTCCAAATCCTGTTCCCTTACACTATACTTACCTTCATACAAAGAATGGTTTTGCTATGGCCCTCCAAAGTTCTGAGGAGCAGTCCATTCCGTGCATCGCGCACACTAATGGTGCAGTCATAGGATCCCACAACCAGCAGCTTTCGGGCACCTTCCTGAGCTGTGGCGAGGCAGCTGACGGCCCGAGGGCCATGGCACTCAAAGACTTCAAGTCGTTTGTTATTCTGAAAAATTAGCCACTGTTATATGAGGTAAAAGCAACTGGAAAATCTCAAAACAAACCAACGAAAATCACTGATGGGGTATAAATGTAGTTTTATTACCTGTATTCAAATTCTCATATCCACACCATCCTTAACTTCCCAATCTCTGCCATGCCCACCCCAACGAACTCTCTTTGCTGTGTTCATGACACTTCTGATTCTGTCGGAGGCAAACTTTTAACATTCTAAGTTCATTTCTAGCTTGAACCCATACCATCTTTATCCTTATTAGAAACTTATCTTTGAGTTAGGAAAGAATTAGGCCTTGAGGCATAAGGCAAACCTCTGAGTTCACATTACAGAATAGGCTACGTTCATGAGACCCAAAAAAGGTCCAAACCACGTCAATGTTAGTATCACAGGAATGTAAGTCATTTTTCATGGTGTCATTCTTAAAATGAGACAGATTGGGGCAGCCTGTGACTCATTATTTGGCCCCAAATCTTTAGACCTGACTTAGTTTAGCAGAGTTACACTTTGGCCCTGGCACATTTGGGTTTGAGCAGACAGGAGGGCAGATCTTGTTTCACTCACCTCAGATAAGAACAGCTTTGAGTAGTGGCTAATTCTGTTGCTTCCTCATACAAGAAAACAAGGTAATGCCTGCCTTCTACTTCCTCCTACTCACACTAGTAAGTGACATGGGGATTCAGCCTTCTATCCTCCAACCACTAACCTTTATGTTGAAGGTGACCACAGTGCCATTTGCCAGGCCTGCATAGAGGATTCGCCATCTACTGTGGAGGCACAGGACCCGGTCTTCCAGATGTAACTTCTCCACACACTCCCGGGTCTGATGAAAGCATACAAAGTCTTATCATCAGAGGATAGTGGCAAAAATAACATAAAAGCAAATCCTTCTGGAAGCAGAGTCTATTTGAAATGATTTTTATAAGGAAAAACGTGGCATCCTTTATTTTGTAGAGGACTATCTTAGATTTTCCACCAAGGACTGCAAAGTCAGTTTGAACTACAAGGTCAGTGGTTCAAGTTCACCAGCCGCTCCTTGGAAATCCTACCTAGGGTCACTAAGAGTCGGAAATGACTCAACAGCACTTAACAACAGCAACAAAGCCCCCAAACTGCACATAACAATGAAAACAAATACAAAGTCTAATGTTAGCCGTGTTTCTAGTTTATGATGTACAAGGTCTTCAAAGAGCTGTATGTATAGTTGGATCTTAGTCTCTTAAATTAAATTAAATGGTCATAGATAAAAGTAAAATTTGAAATCTAAAATGGAAAAAAAGGGGTTTTGTTTATATGTTTAGATCTTGGATAACTGTACTAATCAAATTATGTGCTTTCCTATAATTAAGTCTCTGTTCCAATGACTCTAAATGTGTACTTTAAACTGGTACCAGGTTAGCTTTTTTAATTACCCAGATCATAACTACTCCATGAAGCTCTTAAGAATTTATAAAAACCCTAAACTTCACTCCTAACCATTGAGATTCTAATTCAGCAGGCTCTGGAATTATATTTAGAGAAATTTTCCTTAGTAATTCTGGCATGCACCTGGGTTAAGAACCATTATTTGATCTGACTTTCATGAAATAATTTTCATGAATTTCCCAGAATGAGGTTATACTGGCAAATCATTATCACCTAGGGCCTAGAATAGGGCCAGTCACACAGTAATTGTTCAAATTAGTTTTGAATGATACTAATTAAATATAACTTTTTAAAACAAGGTTTGAATGCTGATGCTAAAATCAAAATGGTTATTTATACATATATAGAATGGGAGAAGCTGTGAGCTGTCAAATTCTTTGATCTTTTCTCCCAACCATCTTTCATACCTAAAAGAGCTAATCTTTTCATTTCCTCCTATAAAATTACAAATAGAAATGTAGCATTACATAGGGGGTAAAAAAAAAACAAAAAAACCCAACAGTATATCTCCCCTAAAAGTTAAGATTCATATTGCCTCTGGCTATCTCACCTGAGGTCTTTTTATAACATAAAATGGGAAGGTCAAATACTATACAATAAAAAAAGGAACAAAATACTGGTACATGCAAAAACATAAATAAATTTCAGACATTATGGTAAGATAAAGCGAGGCATGAAAGAATACATGCAATCTGACTATGTTTTTATGAAGCTCATGCCCAAACAGAAATAATCTATAATACAAGTCAGAGCGATGGTTATTTTTTGAGGGGCTAGTGATTGGGAAGCATACGAGGAAACTTCAGGGGAATGGAAATAGTTTATATTTTAATCTTGGTGGTAGTTACACAAATATATATCTGTACAAAATTCATCACACGCTGTTTGCTTAAAATGCGTGTACCTTACTGAATGAAGTCATATTTCAGTTTCAGAGAGTGGTTTAAGATTTTTTTTTCTGGTAACATACAGTCCTACTATGCCATATATTATTTGTTAGAACCACTAAAAATATTAAAAGAATCTTTAACATTTTTTTGCTGAGTCAAAAAATGACACTGTATTTTTGTTTCAATTTGTGTTTACTGACAAGATTGTATTATTTCCAAATGGCTATTTCTATTTCTTCTTTTAAAGAAACTTTTTCTGGCTATGCCAATTCATACATTGAGATTTTTTATTTTTCTCTACTGAAAAGTGTAAGCTCCTTACAAGAAATAACTGTGCGTACCTATCCTATGTTGGGTAGTATCCTATAATACTAGTTTTTCCTTGAGAGATTATTTCTTGTCAAAACTTGTTTATATTTTGTACAGCTTTCTTATAGTATAACTTCCATAAAATAAAGATTATCCATGTTAAAAAGGCATTTTTTAAAGCTGGGTCAAGTATACATAGATGCAACCACTACCCCAATCAACTTTCACAACATTTCTACCATTCCAAAAGTTACTGCATACCCTCTTCCAGTAAATGCCCACCACCATTTCAGGCAACAGCGAAAGAAAGCAGAGTGGAGAGACAGGAAGAAATTCCGTTCCCTGTGACACTGCTGAGCTGCTGGAACAAGCACATATAATGTGATTTTTGGTTTCTCAGCACCCACTGACCTTAGTATCATAGCAGTGGACGGTGTGATCACTGGAGCCAGTGTACAGGGCAGCATGCTTCCCAGATGTCTGAGTAACCAGGAGGCAGTTCACTTTGGAGGTATGGCCATCAAAAACACCTAGGCATTTTCGATTCTAAAGTCAAATACAGATCAGGTTCTGGCTTTTAAAATATAGAAGGGCAAAGGAATGCATTTCCTCAAGAAAATAATGGTAGCAAGATTATTCACCACTGTGTCTTCCATGCCAAGAATGGTGTGTTGCACACAAAAGGTGTTTAGTAACTATTTGTTCTCTGAATGACCATCAAATAGTCACAAGGGCTGAGGTAACTGCACCTAAGTTAGCACAGCCATACCAGACATCATTTTAGGCATTTCACTATAAGATCAATTGGATTTCAATGCCTATGGCAAGGCTCTTCAACATATGGACCAAGGACTAGCCAATCCCAACAGAAGATTATTACTTAGATGAGTTTCTGTATAGATCAATGGCATATAAGAATGATTTATAATATTCAAAGTCACGGCAGGTGCCTTCACAGATTCTAATGGTCCTATTGTGGTTTCCTAAGGGACCTAACTGCTACCTCTGTACACATTCTGAGATCTATTTAGAATACATATATACATATTTCTTGCAATTTAAAGTTAAAGCTGAGCTCTCAAATTTTAGTTTTACACATACTTCAAGGTACCATTGCTTCTTTCCTTTAGTCATCCCTGTTGTCCTCACATTATTAGGCTAAAAGAAACGACACTCAACAAGTTTCTTTTTTTCTTTAGCCTATCACCTAACTGTGACTTCACTGATTTCAGCAATTTCAAATGAATGCTTTCATAGCATCTGTTCAGACAAAATAGTATTCCTAAAGTTTCTTGGCTATAATTGTTAATAAACAGGATTAGTTTGACATGAACCAAATTCAAAACTTAAAAGTTGTTTCTATGAAAATTGGGAGTATTGAACATCAGATTACACTAACTCCGGGGTAGTGAAAGAACGTTGATTTCCTTAGTAACTTAGATTTTACAGTTGATCAACTGTGATAAAAAATGTCTCCTCTAATTAACAAATGGAGTCCTGGTGTGGTGCTGTGGGCTAATACGTCAGAGTGCTAAGTCGTTTGAACTGCAAGGTCGGTGGTTCAAGCTCACCGGCTGTTCCTTGGAAACCCTATACAGGGTGGCTATGGGTCGGAATCGACTCAATGGCACTTAACAGCAACAATGTTGTTAGTTGCCATGAAGCTGATTCCTACAAGGGCTGTGACCTTCTGAAGCACTTTACCAGACCTTATTTTGAGACACCTCTGGGTGGTTTGAAACATCAACCTCTCATTGGTTCAGTACTTAAATCACTGTGCCACCAGGGACTCCTTTCTCCTCTGATACCTCTCTAATATTCATTCTATCTTCTATTCTGTAGTAACCATGAGACTAGCCTCATCATCAACTCTATGGATGAGACCTGTCTAGTCCACGCCTACTACTGCATCCCGTCCCTCTTGCCCTAGGTGACTGGCTTACAGAGTAAAGCACAGGACTCATTTGGTAGTGGGCTCCAGTCAATGATCCTGTGAGCACGAGGGGAACTAACTATAGGCAAGGTACTATCAGAGAAGGCAAGAGTAGAGAGACAGAAAGAAATCAAGTCTCCAGTAACAATGCTGGACTGCTGAACCATCTATATTTAAAGTGCGCCTAAAGCTCATCTCTACCTGGACAATCAATGCTGTTGCATGCCCTTGGGTTGAGTCTGACTCACAGTGACTCTCTAGGGCAGAGCAGAACTGCCCCATATGATTTTGTAGGTGGAAATCTTTATGGAAGTAGAATGCCAAGTCTTTTTCCCACTGCAGGAGCTACAGGGTTCTAATTGCTAACCTTTCAGTTAGCAGCCAAGTGTTTTTTTAACCATGGCACCACCAGAGTGCTTTAAAACACCCCTTTTATTATTTAAGAGAGTCTTTGGATAGTAGAGTTAATGTGCTCAGCTGCTAACCAAACGAAAAGTTAGAGGTATGAGTTCACCCAAAGACAGCTTTGGAAAATGGCCTGGCAATCCGCTTCCCCAAACTCAGCTACTGAAACCTACAGAAGACAGCTCTGTCCTCACACACAGGGTGGCCACGAGCCACATTCCACTCAACAGCAACTGTTTATTTTTAAAACTGCTTAAGAGACTACATGATGGATTTTCTAACTTGCAACCCAAATTATTCAAACTGATATAGCAACTTACCACCAAATTATAAACTCGGACAGTCTTATCTGCTGAACAGGTATACAGTAAGTTCCCAAATATTTGTATTGCATTTACTGCAGCTTGGTGCCCCTCAAAGCTCCCTTCTGTGGGTTCATCATCATCTCCTGGCTCTGAAGATATTTCTAGAAATCAAAAATATATTTCACAGACATGGTTGCTAGACCTTGTAAAAAAAAATATTCAAAAACCAAAACCATTAAACAATATAGTTGTCCCTGGATTAAACCAAAAGACTTCCTAAAGGCTACTTCCCTAGAAAAACATCACACTGTTTCATTAATGATCTTCATTGTGAAGTTCCATAAAAAGACAGGGAAGGAAAATTTTTCATTTAGGAAAAACACAGTGAGTTCTAAGTGATATTTGGAAAGTACCCAGTATTTCTTTACACACAGTCTCTACCCTGCTACCAGTTATTTCTTTGAACAAGACACTCTCTTTAGGCAGTTCCTTCTCAAAGAAAACACTGCTGGAGCCAATGACACATTAATAGTAATTCCTTGAAAAGATAGAGAGCCTTGGGAGCGGGGGAGTAAGAAGCAAAAAAGGCAAGAGTTGAGAGAGATCTTAACTGCTGGTCAAAGCAATCTTCTTGACCCTGTTTCCTATTTAAGTAGATTTCAACCCTAGCTTTGATCTCAGAAGTCTTTGTTTTCTAAAGTGCATTTAAATAAAAAGGAATTACCTGAAGAGTTTTTTGATCTTTTTATGGAGGAGATCACAGTCTGAGTTTCAGCCACACTAAAAAAACAACAAAAATCTTCTTAGCATCTGTGTGAGCAGGAGTTAAGTTTTCTGACTCATAATCATTTTTCTAAACAGGCAAAGTAGAAGTGAGATAAGAGATCATTTTTTCCACCTGAAATTTCTATATGAAGTAGAAATAGAGTTTTATTTTCTCCTTTACAATATTTACAACACAGTAGAATGAGAAAATAGGAGAGTTGGTCTCCATTGCCAGAGTTTTCTGTCTTCATAACACCTATAATGTTTTGTATGTATTTTTTAATAAATTTGATTTTTTTTTAAATTCTTGATTCATAACAAAAGTCTTATTTTAAAAAAACACACAAAACAGACAGACAGATGTTTGGGCAAAGCCATTCTGATCAGACCAACATCCTTACCTTACAGGGACGTCATCCTTACAGCGAGGGCCAATCTCACTGGTAGAGCTAACTTCGTCGCAACCAGAACGAGCAGCTTCTGGTGGGTTTTGCTCTGTGGAGTTCCCGAGATCCTTTTTAGATGGGCTGTCTGGTTTCTCTTCTTCAGATTCTGAAGAATTAATGGTTACAACTTCTTGCTGTGGATTAGGAATCTCCAGGACTTCCAGAGACGAGTCACTGTCTGGCTCCTCTCTGACACTCTCTTGTTCCTGACCAGGTCTGCCATCTTCCCAGGTGGATGTTGTTACTTTGCCCCCTTTAGTTAACTTTCCAGTCCTTGCTTTCCTTACAGGTTTGGCAGTAAACACATCCTGTTCGGTGTCACTGTTCTCAGGAACATGGGCCGCCCGTAGAGTTTTCTTCTTCCTTAGTTTTTTCTTTTTCTTGTTTCCCCTACTTTCAACTGATGTCAGGGTGGATTCTGCCTGTTGCTCAGGCTGGTCAGCTGCAGAGTGGAGCTCCCTTTCCAAAGGGGTTTCTGAAGTAAAGGATAATCTTGGGAAAGAACTGGTACAGGTTTCCGAACCACTGTTGCCTTTGGCTGGCTCTTCTCCTTCTTGATGTATGTTAGGAAGAGCAGTTGGTTGGGTAGAGGGAGAATATTCTTTGTGTCTGATATTTCCTTGCTCCATAGAACGCTTCAGTTCTTCACTAGCCTCACGGAAACTCTCTGTGAGCTCTGATAAAGACAATGTTGCAGTGATGACTGGGTAAACTGGAGTACTGTCACTGCTCTCTCCTGAGTTGAGAAGAGAAAAATTATTGCATCTTTCTTTGTGTCCGTTACTTATCACTGATTAAATCATACCAAATAATGCCGTTTCCATGGTAAGTTAACCAAAACAAGACTGTGAAGGTTGTCATTGAACCCTCAAATTCCCATAATCTACACACACTTCTATTACAGAATGTGCAAATTTTACCTTGCACAACTAATACATGTCTTATTGCCTACAAGTCTCTGTCGACAGGAATGGTTTCTTCTGATTTTTTTTTTTTTTCCATTCTTGCTTTAAATGTTCACACATTAAGCATCACTATGTTTTACTCTTAGTAAACACTTAGCTATCTACTTAACTGAAGCACTTTCACCTTTGTTTCTTCGTTGTTTTCATTATACATTTTACCTACTTAGCTCTATACCAGTAGTTTCATAGTCAGCTAAAAGTATGTTTCCTTTGACTTAGTTGTTTTATGTCTTAGGATTTAAATTGCTGAAATAATCACAGACACACTCAAAGATCTAAAAGAAACTAAATATTAAAAGAGATTTTTATATAACTTATTTATATATAAGTTATTATGCAACTACTCAAATATTACTCAACTAACAAAATTTTTTAAATGTCTTAGATAAAGTATTTTAATGACACAGGAAAGTAACATGATACATTAAGAAAAAAATAATCAGGTTAAAATAGACCATGATTTTTTACTTATATAAAGTTTGTAAACACACAAGATTTAAAATTCAAATAAGATATAACATTTTTATAATTTCCCAATTATTTACAATGAACATGACAACTTTTATAATTAGAAAGAAGAATCAAATAAAAACTGTTTTTGAAAGTTAGCTCAATAAGTCACTACAATGCACACCAGTGCTGGTAGCACCATAGTGTAAGTACTGAACTACTAATAGGCCAACAGGTCAAACCCACGAGTGACTCCACACAAGGAAGACTAGACTCTCTACGCTGTAAAGATTTACAATCTCAGAAACCACATACAGGGTTGCAATGAGTTGGCATCAACTCAATGGAGTGAGCTTTTTAGTTTATTCACATAAAACTTAAATTTCATTGTGAAAGACAATATGCATTTGAGGATATGAGATGAGGAGTTCTACAGGGTGTGACGCTGCGGGTTAATGTGCTGGACTGCAAGGTTGGTTTGAACCAGAAGGTTAGCAGTTCAAGTTCACCAGGGTCACTATGAGTCAGAAGCAATTTCATGGCACCTAACAACAATAACAATAAGTATTGCAACAGGGTTGCTGGTAGCGGCCATTGAGTCGCCCCCGACTCCAGGCAATCCATGTACAACAGAAGGAAATGGTGCCCCATCCTGAACTATCCCCATGAGCGATTGTGGATTAAACTGCTGTGATCCGTAGGATTTCCATTGGCTGCTTTTCAGAAGTAGATCACACCAGACCTCTCCCCCTGGTCTGTCTTAGTCCGGAAGTTCCACCAAAACCAATTCCGCATCACTGCAACACTGACAGAGGGATGGTGGCTGTGCATGAGGTACTCGGACGTCCTACCTAGAAAGCAAGAGTCTGCAACTAAACCACCCCTGCCCCTGCAACACAGTACACACAGTACTAGTACCAAATCTAGAGTCATTCTTCAGACCTGCTGTTTTCCTCAAGAAATCACACAATACCAGTTTGTGTGCTTACCTTTTCACCTAGTTTTTAATATAGCAATACTGTGGTTATGCAAACTTCCAACAGGATTTTAAATAGCTTCAAAGTTATTCTCAAATGCTAACCAGTATTGTTTTATGAAAGGAAAAACCCTATTTCTCAAGACCATCCAAGTTCCTATTAGATGAATCCAAACCTCAGAGTCCCCTGCTTTCCCTCATGGTCACCTACTTCTCAGGTTTGCATTTGGTAGTTAAGTGCTGAGAATTTATTTTGCTGTCTCACAAAAGCCAAATAAATTCTACATCAATCCCAATACTCAGAACTTTTCGGTTGCTAACAGAAAGTCAGCTAAATTACCCTATGCTAGAAGAAATTGGGGGGAAATTACTGAAATGTTTTCAAATAATCCCCTTGTATGATGAAAATTTCAATAAAAATTTGTAATAAATTGAGTTTTTATTTATTTATTTCACATGAAGTGACTTTACGCCACAGATACAACATAACGGCCTTAGTAGCACCACAGGATAAGAAAGCTTACATACTATTAGTCGGAGGTAATTCCTTGGACAGAGTACCAGCAGAGTCTTGTGGCACAGTGTTCACATTCTCCACATGTTCAGGAGACATGGGCTCTTGTTTAATCTGAACTGATGAATCTGGAGCTGGGACACTGCCATGGACTTGGAAAGTAACAGATGTGGATGATGGAGACACATGGGAAGATGGAGGGTCCAAAAAAACGGGGAAGAAGGGAGTAGGTAGCATCGTGGCATCAGCAGATGTTTGCGATTTGTTCCTTTGTTCTTGTGAAAGGCTACAGGGAACCTGGTCTGGATGCTCAGGTTCGTATGTTTCTAGAATGGGAAGCATACATACAAAAGAAAAAGTGTTATCTGTAAAGTCACTCATTTCTAAGCCAATTTGTATTTTTAAAGGAGATTTCAAATGAATAAATGTATTAATATAGTCCTTCATAATTCTTCAAAGAAGACTGTATAGAATCTATAAAAACCACCAAGATTATAGACAGAACAAGCATTAATATTCCTTTTTTTCTTTAGCTTTTTAAGTGGCTTATCCAAAATCATATAGGTACTAATATGAGATTCAAGATTTGAATCCCTATCTTTTCATTCCTACTCCAATATACTTGCTCTGTTTAACAATATTCAGTCCCCATTGGTTAGCATTTTAGGGATTATCTAGCCCACAGGACTATGACTGTGGGATTTCTACAGAGCGATGAGAAAATACTGGCCTTTCCATGACTACTTTCCAATGCCCACTAGATTGAATAATAAAATAACAAGCTCAATCCATACGAATCTCTCTGAATACCTTGTAATCCCTGTAGAATCTGTATTCTATGGGTCCTCAGTGCACTCATCTCCATAGTTATCTAAAAATAGAGTATTTGTTAAGTATTTTGAAATCCAGCTTCAGAGAAGATGCATTTTTTAGTAAATATTCTTCCGACTGTTACCTGTTGCTTGAGCATAAGTAGTCGCTGGACTTCAACATAAGCTGTTTGAAGTGCTGCACGAGCTTGCAAAAGGTTGTTATCCATGCACTGCAAAGATTTACTTAGTTCTTCCTCCCTTAAGGAAATATGCAGCAGCTGATCAACTTGAGAACGTTCTGTCAAAAGAAACCATAAAGTTTGGCTTAATAATAAGCAAAAGTTTTCCCTTTAATAATAAGAGTTCCACAGAAGATGAAACTGATACTTACTTAGGGTAAGTCATTATTTTCTCCCACAAAGGGTCTTTTACAATGACAAGTCAGAATTGGTAACAAGGTTTCTTACGGATTCAAGTGTCCCACACCACATGGTACCATCATGTTTTAATTGTCATCTTCCACCACTACCCCTCCATGTGAAATCTCTGTCTCAGGTATTCCAACTGTTTAGGTTTCATTTCCTATACCATTGTCTTCACTGAAGGCTTTTGCTTAGATTCGGCCCCAGACATGAACTGCTTACACTTCCCTCCCAATTCACATTTTTCCAGTTAAATTAAAATGGTTCTCTTTATTAGTAACTTTCTGAAAAAACTTAAATAAAGCTTCAAAATAGGACATTTAATGTACTTTTAATAATGTTCTATTATGTGTAAGCATTTATCACATTTGTTTCTCTTTCCTATTCAATATGCTAAGACCTCTCCCCTAAATTCCAGACCCACAAATTTAGCTAACAATTTGATATCTTTTCCAAGGTATCTCAAAGGTCCTTGAACTCAGAGTATCCAAAGGGGGCTTGTTATCTTCCTCTACTCTCATGGGATTTTCTAATTCTTTCCAGTTGCCTGAGGCAATATCCTGGATGTCTTCTTTGGCTCCTACCATTATCTATCACATCTAATCACTCAAGGTTCACCCGTCACTTCCTGCACCAGCTTTACACTGGAATTGGGTAAGAGTCCATGGAAAGCAAGAATCACAGAGTATATCAGTGAAGGAATCACTCTAAAAATTTCTCTCTTTAATTCACATTATATTAGCAGGCAAGATGCCGCAAACATGCAAAGTGAAAGAAATATTTATAAATGACCAACAGGGACAACATTTTTACTAAAAAGCCTATTCTCCTTCACCCAATGAGAATTTCTGGCATTATACTGACATCATATATTTCTTCCAAGCTATAACTAAGGAGTGCTGGTGGGTTAAACATTGGACAACTAACTTGAAAGATTGGCGGTTTGACCCCACCAGCTGCTTCTTAAGAGAAAAAGAAGGAATTAAAAAAATGGTCTGATACAATTTGATGAACTTTACCTACAGCTATGGAAGCAGTAGCTCAAAAGAGCGAACAAATTCTTACAGCAAGAATCATTCCCACCCCCTCGACACACAGAGTAGATAGGATGGGCAACTTGGACATTGGCTACCTGAATGGGGTTGGGGGAACCACAAAGGCAAGACGTGACTGGCTTACAAGCTTTCAAGAGGGAACCTAGAGCCAGGGGGCCTGGAGGAAGGCAGAATCTCCAGTGAGTAGTATCCAATCTGCCTAGGCGGAGCTGATGAAATGAAATGCAGATGGGTCTCTTGTGACACAATAGTGAATAATTGTTATCAGGACTGATTGTGAAGGTTGGAAATGTAAAGGTAGACGTTTTACAGCAAGGAAGGGAGGGAATAACTTTCCAGTCTAGGAGCGGAGGTCCCTAGGACCATCAATGGAGAAGAGCCGAGAGCTGAACCCTACCCAGAGAAGCAGTGATGCCTGAGATGGAGGCAGAGACGATGACGTGGAGTGAAGGAATAGCTGGGGACTTTAGATCCGGTGGGCGGGGGGGGGAGTGCAGGGGGCAGGCTTGCAGGGTATACCCTTTGGTTGGTTGATGGTGCATGGAGGGGATTGTAACCATGGCAATGACACGATATAAGATAGATTGAATGTAAAACTGTTAATGTTCTCCCATGTAAACTATCATAAAATTCACAATAAAACATAAAAAAAAATGGACAGTGCTTCTGTAAAGACCTACAGCCTCAGAAACGCTAAGAAGCAATTCTACTCTGTCCTATCGGAATAGAACTGACTCGACAGCAGTGGAATTTTTTTTTTTTTTAAAGCAATAACTAGATGTAATAAGATATCAAACTTACCTGCCTTTAAGGAAAACAATGATAATGTCAAGAAAATAATAAACAAACAGTGTTTGGTAATCACAAACTATGCTCTGTGTCAAACTGCAAAAATGCTGACTTGCTCTAAGAGCAACCTCTGCCAGAACACGCTGCACCATACCTTTTTTTCCTTTAATTTTCCTTCTTTTATTTTTTCTCTCAAGACTTGGGAGTTCAGGAGAAGATCCATCCTGAGGAGATTAAAAAAATGAATAATATTTATTATATAAAAGACTATTAGTAGGGAAGGAGCCCAGACAGCACAGTGGTTAAGTGCTTGGTTGCTATCAAAAGGTTGTTGGTCCAACCCACTAGCTGCTCCACAAGAAAAAGATGTAAGCAGTCTGCTTTCCTAAATATTTTTGCCTTGGAAACCCTAGGGGACAGTTCTACACTGTCCTATGAGGTCACTGTGAGTCAGAATCAACTTGACAACTGTGGGTTTCGATTTTCATTATGTAGTAGGGGAATGAATCAATTCTAAGACAGTTATACATATGGTCTTTCATTATTGCTATGATCTCTAACAGGAAAGCAGAAATACAAACATTAGTTGAAAGAATTTATCTGATTAAAAAAAAAAATAGAATTCATGACCAAGTATCCTAGAGGCAGTAAATGGGTTTAGGTGAGCCATTCCACTTTGGTGAAGCAAAGCATAAATAAAAGAATGAACTAAGCAGTAATATATACATCTGATTTCATCTTGGCATACTTTCAACTTTAAGCATCAGAAAGAAAATCTTTATAACAAAAAGTTAAACAAGCCCTAATATAAAAGTTTTGTCATTGGATTATCTCTAAACTTGAAGTGTAGTTCAAATTTTTCAACAGTGTCCACTCTACAGTGGCCAGCTCAAAAGAAGTGCTAGAATTTGAACATAGGTCTAAACCCCTTTTTTTGCCCTACTACATTGTCTTGGAGTCCTGGTGTGGCACTGTGGGTTAATGCGCCAGGCTGCAAGGTCAGCAGCTCTCCTCGGAAACCCTATACAGGGTCGCTAAGGATCGAAACCAGCTTGATAGCACGAACAACAACAACAGTGTCTTAGTATTATAGGAAACAGTCTATTTTCTCACATTGCCAGATTCTAGATAAGCAACTTATGCTTTCAGAGAAAGATCCTAAGAGGGTTAACCAACAAGAGACGGAGATGCCAAAAAAGCAGAATATTTCTATGACTGGGCTCATTTAAATGCACTCTAATGTACTAAAACCATCTTGTGCTAAGTCTAGCAATCTTGAGTCCATCATACATGCCCTACAAATGCAACACCAGAATGCCTTTCTTAAGTAGCAGTCCAGAATGCATCATGAAAACAGATAAAGTTACAGCTAAAGATGTGACTTACTCCCTGTGATATTAAAAAAACACTGGCTTGGAAACTAGTTTTAGAGATGACTTCATATTTTCCTAGTACTGTACATTCATATTAGATTACATCTAACTTAGTAGAATTAAAATTAAAGAATTAGTGAAAGAAACCAGTAGGATAAGAATATGAATTTAAGAACCAGAGCCTCACAATTCCTCTATGCCAGAGCTATGAATAGAGGGGAGAATCACAAACCCAAATACTCAAGAAAAATTGAACAGTTAAACCTTTTTGATAACAGACAAATCACTGTATTAGATGTTCTACAATAAGCTCAGGGAATCATACTCACTCCAGTGGCTCTTCGTTTCTTTCGAATACTCTGGCCGTCATTTTGTTCAGCACCAGAGGTGCAGCTACTGTCTGTGGCTGCATCCACCAGACTAGAGTTTGCAAGGGCTGAAGATGCATTTGACGAGACCATGTTTCCGTCTCCATTACTCTCTTGGACATTCTGATTCTCTGAAGGTGGTGTAGAACTCTCCTGGCTGCTCAGGTCTTTTGCCGAATGTATCAAAGGTATTGTAAAGTCAGAGGGTAATTGTGTACTATGTCGCCTTCGGGTAGCAACATTTTTGGCCATTTCACCAGTTCTTAGGGAAGCAGCCAGAGGTGAGATTTCCTGTTTAAAGCCCACAGTTACTTTCTGGCTCTGTGTAATCCTCATCGAGTTATCAGACAAAATGCTATGCTGAGAATCATTTTCTTTGCCTGTGTCTTCGTCACATAAGAAGCTATATACAGACGGAGCCCTGTCCAAGATCACGCTGCTCTCAGAAAGGCTTCGTTTCCTGGCCAAACCAGGGGGTGAGGGAATAGAAATACCTTCCCACTGGAATCCTTCTAGATTGGACAGATCAGACTCCCCATCCAAATCCAAGACCTCTTGCTCATTTTGAACCAGGGGCACCATTTCTATGCCAAACCTTAAGAAAGAAAAGGGAAAAACAGAAAGCATAAATAACTAAGCTATGGTCTGAGAACACTTAGGACTCAGATATGGTTGGAGTGGGTGGCATTTAACATGCCAGGCACTAAGCACTAAAATCACAAAAATGAGTAAGATGGTGCCTGTCCTTAAGGAGCTCACAGTCTACTATTAAAGAGACACAGGCATAAAATAATTATATTAGAAATAGTACAACAAATACTAAACTATAAGCTTAGGTTTTATTTACTATAAACCTCTAAACCAATAGCAATTTGCTGTTGTTAAGTGCCGTCAAATCAGTTCCAACTCATAGTAATCCTACTTAAGGTATCTGAGGAGTGCCTAGTGGTCTGAATCACTGACCTTGTGGTTAGCACTCCAGTACTTATCCTATAGTGTGTCACACTAGGACTATAAATACATAATTATAAAAGCAGCAAACAAACCAAAATAACAACAAAAAAACTTTTAAAATGCTAAGTAGTATGCTGAGAGTTCTCAACTAATACAAGTATAGAAAAGGGAAAAGGGGCAAAATAACCTAATTATTTCAAAAGAAATGTCCCCTAAGCCTGGAAGGCTGTATGTAATTAGAAGGCAGCAATTATGATTGCCATGCCAAGCAGCAAACCTATGCTGAGCGATGCTTTACCATTCAGAAATGCCTAGTACACGTCAATATAAGATGAGCAAAAACAGTACAATAGTGCTTAACATAAGACATTTTGAGATCATAAATATAGAGTACGTCAGAAGGGTAACTATCCTCAATTAAAGGCAATGAGAACAGTTACACTTTAAAGTGTACCATTCATTCTAAAACTGAACTCAAGAAACAGATACTGGTTTTTATACTTTTACATGGTGTCAGTTTCTAGTTTCTATAACCAAAGTCAAGGGTAAGTGAAAAAGAAGACCCTCATTCAGATGGATTGACACAGTGGCTGCAATCAATGAACTGAAATATACATAACAATTGTGAGGATGGCACAAGACTGAGCAGTATTTTCATTCTGTTGTACACAGAATGAAAATATGAGTTGGAACCAACTTGACAGCATAACCAAAGTAAGGGATTTCAGATTCTTTTCTGTGTCCCCATCTTATTTCTCAGAAATAGTTAAGCTTAATCTGAGTGCTCTTCTATGAAACATTTTATTATATTTGTCATAGGTTAACACTATATTTAATTATATATACCAGACTTCTACCATGTATATAATTTGTAAGCATTTAGTTAAATGTAACAATTAGAATTTGCTTGACTAAATCCAAAGGGTAGCTTTAGAGAGAGAGAAATAAAGGAAAACACAAAGAATAATCAAATAGATAATAAATGGATGGATAGATACTGAAAAGAAATACACACCTGGGTAAGCCTTTGCCCAATTCTTGCTTTTTCTTGGTCACTTGCTGAATGACCTGTTCCCAGTTGACATTTCTCCGAGATGCATTTAGAATCTGCCTGAGGGTCGGCTTGAGCCCAGATTCCTTCTCTGTCTCACTCTTTCGGTGACCACTAATGTTGCGAATGCGGCGAGCACTATTGAGGTTTGGCTCAGGAAGGTGTGCTCCAGTTTTGCTCTTCAAACTAATGTGCCGGGTTAGATCTCTCTGGAGAGAGGCGGGAAAGCCAAGCTTACTTAGTTCAGGTAGGAGTGAGGCTGGGGGCTGACCTATATCACTTTTTTGAAGCTCTGCATCCAAGCTAGTACTCTCAAAGCCTTCTGTTTCATAAGATACGTGAGGTTTAACAGGGTCAACAATCTGTGCATCTTCTACTAGAGAGGTTTTCAAGTCTAGCAATAAGCCAGCGTGGGGACTATCTACACATGTCATTTGTAACTCAGATTCTTTCTTGTGAACTGTGGAAATACATGGGGAACTGGACAGTTTTCTAGGTGTTTTCAGGATTTGGTCATTCCCCTCTTTCTCATCAACAGAATGAGTACTGCAGGATAAAACCTCTGTAGCTGCAGAATCCAGGGCTCCAATCTTTGTTCCACGCTTTTCAGTGTCAGATATCTCTCCATCGCTTTCATCTTCTAATGTGTGTACTTGAAACTCAATCTTCAAAGATCCTTTTTCAGACTCTTCTACATTTCTACTTGCTTTTGCATAGCTCCTGGTCCTTTTAGAAGTAGTAAGTGATGGCTTTGGCACTGATTCATGTGGCGTCTCTTTAGCTTTTTGTATTGTATTAGTTAAATTTTCACAGAGCTCCCTTTGAATGCCAAATATACTTTTATTCCCTTTAAAACCACTACGTAATTTGGATATGTAAGAACTATGATTATCTTCTAAAATGGGTCTATTCAAGGGACTTACGTGTTTGCCAGGAATAAAAGAATTAGTCTTGACATTTTTTGCAAGATTCTTTGGTTCTGGTTTTTGAGAAATTGATTTAGTGCCTGGAAGTGGAAGGTGTACGGATTTCAGTGTTGGCATCTTATTTGAGTTATGCTTTTGTTCTGGTTTTTCTGTAACGGGACAATCTCTTATCGCCTCATAGGAAGCTGTGCAGTCAGAAGTGGCTGTGTGAGGAAAAGATTCTGTATGTGTTTCATTTTGTGTTTTCAGCCTTGGGGAATTACTTGTTTCATCAGTTTGGGGTGCTTGTGTTCCTGTAGCCATCAAGTTAAAATCAAAGAAAGGCTTATCTGTCTTCTCTGACTTGCTACCAGTGAAGTCTTTCAACCCAGGTTGTGAATCCAGAGCCTTTTGGCAAGGGTAAGGAGTCCAGCGACGGAACTTTTCCTTTGCTACACTGCCATTCTTTCCACCCACCTTGGGAGCTATATCTGTTTGTTTAATGGTTGGGCTTTCCAGGTGCTCAAAATTGAAGTCAAATAAGCCTTCTGAAGAAAAGTTATCATTTGCAAATCCTTCAGGAGAAGGGTATGTAGCAACTGTACCAACTTTGTCATTTTCTTGCCGTAGACAATTATATCTCTCTTGGTTGTATTTGTTTGACTTATTGGATTTCTTGTTCCTTACTATAGCCATGTCTTCCATTTGACAGTTAGAATTTCTGTTTCTGCTTGGTTGAAATTTGTCTCCAGGGCCATTGTAATTCCAGCTATTTGTACCACGCACGCTGGATTTCCAGTTTCCGTTACTGCTAGTCATATGCCAACTGGAAAAGCCACCTGTTCCTTCAGAATGCCAACTGGAATTTCTTCCTGTACCATTATGATTCCAATCTACTGTGCCATTATTTGAACGCCAACCACCTCCAGAATTACTATGGTTGTGAAACCAAGTTGAGGAGCCTCCAACACCTTTATGCCACCCAGAACATCCTCTTTGTCCACCACTGTTCCTCGAAGAATGTGGAAAGCTGTTTTTTCTAGTATTATTAAAGCCATCTTTCTCCCATTTCCAGTCCCGCTGAGGAGGTGCACGATGGTGCCATACAGGCTGACTGTAATTCTCTCTGTCTTGGTAAGGGAATCGGTCTTCTCGTCTCCATTGGGGTCGTCTGTCTTCAGGGTTTATTTCTTGGCTGCTACTGGAAGCTTCATCTTGTCTGGAAGAAAATTAGGGTTTTTTTTAGCAAATGAAAGAATTTCTTATGCTTCCTTTAAAGCATAACCCACCAAATCCATCCCCCCCACCACACACACCTTTTCTCTTCCTTATTACACAGAATATATAACAAAGGCTATTTTTATTTCTAATAGTTGTTGTTGTTATGTGCCATCAAATTGGTTCTGGCTCACAGTGATCATGGACAAGGTTTCTGAAGAGCAGCTGGTGGGTTTGAACCAGTGACTTGCAGTTCAAACTGACTTTGCAGTTCAGTTCTTATCTTGCAGCACCACACCAGGACACTATTATTATTATTTCATATTTTTAAATCATGTACTTAAACTTGTATTTCTTAATTTAACTTAGAAATTAAACTGTTTTATTTCCCCTATCACTCCCAGAAATGTCTTTTAAATGACACATTTGTTCTACCTCCTCATTCCTGTTTTTTTGGTTCTGTTAAGATCTATCATCCAATTATTTTTACATTAGATAAAAGCTGTTCAATTCTATCTATAGGCTATGGTTAGTTACTGTAGTTAACACATTTTTATGTTCAGCTGCCCTTAATACTATGATTGTAACTTTTTTCTGAAAGACCCAGTGCTTAACCTATTTTACAGTCATCTTCACAGTGAACTCTTTATTGAGTACCCATTAAACTTAAAAGTGAGTCCTGGGGGCCGGCAACGTCGGGCGCATGGGGTCCCCAGCTGATCTCCTCCCTCCCTGCCTTCCTCGAATGGCGGCTGTTTATGCTGGACGTGTGGCCAGA